TATAGAGACTGCAATTAAATATAATTACATTATTAAGTATAATATCAACAATGAATAAGTATATTTTTAATACAGAACAGTTTCATTGTTTATTTCTTTAGATATCTCACTAATGTCTTTTCATGCATCATAATGTTGATCCTTAATACTAGACTAAGTAATTAAAGTAAGCTATACATTGTATCTACAATTTGTTTTAACTAATATATTTTGCGAAAACCAGCAACGCAATGTGCTAGGGCCCTTATAATGCTAGATTATTCTATAATTTGCAAATAATCTTGAACACTTTCTAATAAGTTGCAATCTAGTTGTGTTTTAGTAATACCGATCGAATTTCTTTTTTCTGATTAGAATAATGTATTTATTTGTTCTTATTTTGTTCAACTGGTTATTAGTAACCGACACGGGTTGATTTCGGTATATAAAATGAAGGTATTGAAAAAAAAACTATTTAGCAATCGGTATTTGTCGAGAAAATGCCTAAATAAAGCAACTGTTAAATTACTAAGTTTTTTTGAAAATAACGGCTAAATCACTCTACCTCGTCGTGCTTGTTGGGTCTTGAAACTAGTAGGGATTTTCTCAGTTAGGTACGTCACGCGAAAAAATCGTTATTTTCAAAAAAAATGTTGCCATGGTAATTTAGAAATGGGCTTGTTTACTTATCGATGCGTACCTAATTATTGGTTCTAGTTTATTTAGGTAATGCTATTCAGACTGACGTAAATGACGTGCTAGATCATTTTAGATACTTAATACTGTTCCAAAATGAACTGACATACTCAGAGTAATTTAACGTTTACCTACTTAAGCCAGTCCTCAGTGAGTATTTACGGAACAAAATCGTTACTAAGGAATAGTTTAAGTAATAATTCTATGTCTCTGTAGTTATTTTATCACCTACGTTATTTTAGAATTATTAATGTATAGTTGAGAGAATATAAGTCTGTCTTGTTCGATTTTTAAAATTGAACGTTTTATTACTTGTACTATTGAGAATACATTCCCGGAACTCTTTATTGTATTCCACATTTAAATAGATTCGATTTAAAACTATTGATTTGAATGATTGGATTTTTTTCACCGGTCTCAAGACATGACATAAAAAATATACCATAAATTTAGTGTTAACCTTTTTTTTTAACCTTTTTCTTTTTTTTACTGTAAGAACTTTTTGTATAATCACTTCATATAACATAATTCGTCGTGTTATATGGCATCTGTAGACGAATTGACATCAGTCTGTATAGCATTTTCCGCTAAATCTAAGGCAGGCATCATACATTTGCACCAGCCTCATCAGGCTACAACGATGACTCTACACATATTATTGTTTTTATGGTACAGCATATATGGTACATAGTTCCTATATTATAATTTTTCGCTTATTTTATACACTTATAATTAAGCGGCTTATATTTTAAGCCTAATCTCTCATTTCCAGCAAAGCGTTTTATTATAATGAGGACCTTTTTACACGCTTCTTTAGCTGGGTAGTCGGTATCGGGTAGATATAGGTACATGGGTCGGTAATTTTTTGACAAAGGTACATATTTATATTTTGAGACATATTTAATTGATAATATTTTGCGTCTCATTCATAACAATGAGGATCTTTTTTTTTGAGATTTTGTTTTTAGTTGCGGAGATCGACACATTTGTAACGTTCGCTGTCTGCTCGAATTTCACCAACCAATCAGGAAAAAACACAGAAACATTTCAATCGCGATAAAAGGAAAATTATAGTCGCTCTGAGAGCACTTTATTTCGTGGAATTTGCGATGTTCGCCATGTTATATTTCGAACAGTATTACGCTTATTTAAGCCCCGTTCTAACTTGAAATCAGTCGAGTTACCTTGTCAAACAACAACTTAAGTAAATCGTAAATAGTCTGATCAATTTATTGTTTGCATCTGACATTAACATTCCAATTTATGTCATAATCCAGCTTAGCTTAGCTTAGTTTACATTTGCTGTAGTTTAATCTGACATTGTACTCTGAATAGCAGGCGCCGGCTACCCGGCTACCAGAGCGTGTGAAAAAAGCCCTTATGATCCTAAGTGTGTCGTTCAGTTACACGCACTGACGTAAATGACTAGAAAATGTGAACAAGAATATTATAGAAAAATAAATATCCATAGATAGGTACTTAATATAGGTAGATAGTATTTTCAATAGTGTAAACAAGATGCTCAGAAACTTATTTAGTTACTCCCGAGTTGTTTAAACAATCTTAATATATAAACAAACATATTTTATAATGGCAACAATAACATCTCATACAAATATACTTAAACAAGAAAGTCAGTAAACATATGTAAGGAATAACACAATAACTTCAAGTTAACAGCTTAATATTACAATGATTTAGACTCAATACAATAAAATTAACATTTTACAGTTTGGACTAGGCCCAAATAATACTCAAGTGATAAATAAACATTTTATTTTTACAGAAATAAGCACCGATACAGGATATACGAAGGTTTAACATGCCGGTGACCGTAGACAAAATGGAGAAAGCGAGCAGTGCACCATAAACATAGATCAGTTCCAAATTTGAATAGATCCATAAACAATATACAAAATATGAATAGCAATTCAAAAAATTTGCCATAACTAACGTTCTCTCGACGCGTAATTTATAAAAACGAGGTGCTTCACAATACAAACAATATCTACTCATATAAAATGTATAACTTATACATGTATATTATACATACCTATATGTAAAGGCAGCATAGAATAAATATATAATTTTATTTTAAACTGGATAGCACAATATCATAGGTACAAGGTTGAATCTTATAAAGCGAATGATATGTAACTTTTATCTTACTTTTTAAATAGTACCTATATAAAAACGTAGCGAATTTAAAATAGTATCACTTTGTATCTATCCAAATATTACAGGGAATGGTCTCATTTTACATTATGTCATTGAACTTTTAAATACTGTCAAAACGTAGAAGAACAGTAATTTTAAAAGAGATCACAAGCAAACGATTGTACAGATAATAAATGGTAGGTAGGTAATGTGCCGATAATTGATATTTATTATTGCAACTGATATTTGTTCAATATTGACTCCTTCCATAAGTACTTGTCAGCGTTATTTTAATTATATAAGTGTGTAACAACACTTTATTATAGGTACATAAGGCATCCAAGCTTTTATTATAATATACATTAATGGACACCCCACGTTTCCCAAAACAAATTTATCGATGCATTACGCACAGCCGAAAGCGTTGTTTCAATTCAACCGTACTCAGCATTTGACCACCCGTTACAAAAGAAAAAAAAACACTAAGTATATATTTTAATTACTTCAATCAGGCATCCCTACATTTTTCAATATTATATTTTGATTTCAAAGCACAGCCAAAACGCCCTTTCTTATCATTTATTGTTTTTATAATAATTTAGATATAAAATCTATGTTTCAAAACAGTTGACTCCTTGGTCCACTTATTAACAAGCAAAAGGCATAATTTTTAATGGTGTTCAATTAAACATCAGTTTTTTTAATCAAATATTTTACTGAAGTTATGAGAAACAAACTTTCTTTTCTTTTAAAACGTGACATTATATTTTGAACGTACTGTATTTAACCTTAGGTTACATAATCAAATAATTGCATCCTACACATTACAGATGCGGGAACTAAAGCGCGTTGCGGTTTTGGACAAATTTATCGTTTATTAATAAATATAATTTTACTTAAATAACGGCTTCTAGCATTTGTGGAAACTACGTAATACTAGGGTGTGATGATAGAGGACAATATTAATCATAATTATTACAAATACCTTAACGTGTGACTACCTACGCAACGGATAAAGTGACGGTACGGTCTCACAGCGCAATATTCACGATACTTTTACACAAGTATCTAGTTACAATTTAATATTCCATTAGGATATTTCCTTACGTATTGATAGGTGTAACTTTATTCCTTTAGTATTTACAGCCGGCGTTATCAACTTCTGTATTAACCACTAATATTATATCAGGCAAAAATAATTCTTCGACATGTAGAAGGCATGTTCATGGTACGTTTTCAACACAGTCGGCGTACACCAACGTGTACTCCATTGGAAAAGCGTGAACTCATCGGTACAATAACTTTATATTAGAATTTTAAGATAATAATGACTTGAGCTTCATCTATGCATCTACAGCTATTTTTACATTACTCCGAATTATATTATTTCGAAACTTAATCACTTTAGTTGAAACGATACGGCAATCATATTCTACGTCTCACCTTTACAAAGCAATAATTAAACATTATTATAATTATCACAACATATGTAGGTGTTGGTTTGGACAAACTATTCTCTATGGTGACTATCCACTAATAATAAATATAAAAAGTAATCATGTCTTTTGCTATCTTACTAGTATAATAATAACTTAAAAGCAATAAATACGCTAGGTCTGTCTTTAGGTTTGAAATAGATTTCTTGTTTCCTGCGCATTGAAGGCAGCTCTCCCTCTAAACTCCACTAGATCATCTCTCTAAATTCATACAAAATCCGATGTCCGAATCACGTTGATACAAGAATTTTCATACAATTACATAAGTTGATCCCTCTTTATCCTATCATAAGTTTTCGTGTATTCACAAGAAAAAATCTTACTCGTAGATAATTACATTATAAACGTCCGCCAATGAACTCGTAGAAAACTATTTCAAAACCTGTAGAAAAATCGCACTCCTCTTTCGATTGATTGACGTCAAATTATGGAAAGCCGCGACGTTAGCTTCCTGCTTCAAGTCTCTTAAACTATAATAACCTTAACAGTACGATCACTATAAACGGGTATAATCACAATTCTTATCGACCGTTGACAATCATCAAATATGTATTATAACAGAGTGAGTAGCTTAATCTCATACATATTTGTGTCGCAGTAAAGAATAGTAGAAAACACAGTAAATGTCCGTTCACACGAAGCGGCCAGCGACAGCGGTAAGTGGAGGCAGCATTAAGAGAACGCCTTATAGTGAATGAAGAAGAAGATGAGAAACACGGCGTAGGCAGTGGGGAACGTGATCCGCGCGATCACGTCGATCGTCTTGGCCACGCGGATCGGGTGCGGCGGTTCTTTTTTGCGAACCTGGACGAAACATGGCTGAAAGAAATTATTATGCAAATGAATGATGATACCGAAAGCCGCTACCGTGTATAACAGGCTAATGGATCCGTGAAACTGTGTCACTGTGTTCAACTCACTAACGAACCCTACGGCGTATGAAAACTGTAGTAGGCTCTTCACTTCAAATTGAATTCGCCATCATGTATTTTATCTACGCGACTGCGTGAAAATAAATTTTAGCTTGATCAAATGCAATAAGTGTCCAAGCTGAAAATATTTACTCGCAAGCTTTCTTTACTTGTGGTAAATTGTGAGAGATGGCTATGAAGTTGTACGTGTTCTAAAATAAACAGGGATGTGGTCATACGCAAAATATTCGTAAGATTATGTTAGCATCTGAGAGGAAGGACGTTTACCTCCGAGACCCCGCCATTGTTGGCGGTGTGAGTACAGGCACCAGGGCCCGTACACGCTGTGCACGATACTAGATCAGCCCCTCCTGTTGACTCACGTTTTTTATCACCCTGTAAAACCAAATTAAATATCTCCTTAATATCGACTCCATAAAAATAACTACACCAGTCAAATGGTCAAAACAACCACTCATACTTCTCAGTAATACTACCACACTTCTAAAAATGATGACTTATCTTGGAAGCACGTTTTGGTTCAGCCAAAAATTTGTTCAGTGCTGTGCAAAACGAAACTATATGGAAAACTGTGAGGATCACGCTTAATGATCTAAATACTTACTATATTTTTTACTTAACTTCCACTCGTTATTGAAGGGTACTTACATATCATATTTTTTTCCTATATGAGTTTATTATAAAATTAGAAGTGAGTGTCTTTTTATGTTCAATGATATTTTAAAGGACACTTGTTTACTAAGAGGAACACCAAACTCTTAACAGTAGTTCTGAATGCTTTGAAAATACTAAGTACATACTAGGGGATATCAATGCTCGAAGAATAGGATTTAAGATAAGCAGATATGATAGTATACTTACAGGCTGTAGCGTTCCGAAGCAGCGTTAAAATAAAGAATGCGTTAGTTTTCATGATATCAGACTCAGAGATGATGATGCTGGTGATGTGGGGCTAACTAGTGTCATTCTCAATGACGTCACTTACAGCGCCGCTAGTCTCCGCTTGGGGCATCTCTTGTCTAGCCCTTTGGAGGAAAGCCATCGCCTCCTACGTAAATGTATACCAGTGTTTAGCCGAAGCATGACATTATAACGTACAAAAAGTAACGCTGAAGCTGCAGAGAATTGACCTAATAAACTTTACACAAGCGAAGTGTTCAATGTAAAAAAGTAACTATAAGCAGTATCAAAATATATTATCATTGAATTTGAGTAAGTAAAGTTAGAATTCCCTGACATAGAAGGGTTAATTGAATTGCTACTTAAGTTTGATCAAATTGAAGTATCATAACATTGTTAAAGTATAATGTTTGGGGAGAGAGGGAGGTGAATAAGATAGGAGTGCATGCATTTGAGTGGATATCTTCACCTTAGGATGCTAGACCAGGATAAAGAAAATAAAGTATTTGAACAAAATATTTGGGTAGAGGCCAAGTCTACTGAAGCTCAAATGTTAGGTACAGCATGCTTTCTTGGTAATTTTATTGTGTTTGAAGATGATGACAAAAGCTACGTATATTTCAATTTTACTTCCATCAATTTGTTTATCAGTTATTTCAATACCATTATTTACGATTTCAATGTTCTAGGAAGACTGATTTCAGCAAATCTAAAGTTTAAGCAAAACTTACCTGTTTTTCTGTGTAAAACATTAGTAACTAGGGTCTAAACAACCAGCCTTTCAGAACAATAATGGTAAAACAGAAATATACGAGCCATGTCTGGATAGTGCCAATGAATGTGGCGAATGTTCTTACCAAGGGGCTGGCCAGTATAATGCCAATTCTGCTGAGGACTGCAGGCAGTCGCTGCGAACACATCACACACACTGTTTGTTCACTCGTGACAGATGGTCTAACGATGTGCAATCGTGAACATAGACTAGCTTGTAGTGGCCACATTTATAATGAACATTATGCACTTTGAAAACATACAACAGTACCCACTTCGTAAAGTACTCACGCAATATCAATCACAAAATACAAATCAATATGTATCTTTGCAATGTTTTCTAATAGACGTTAGACAATTCGATACAGATTTATGGATTTAGTCATGAAAAGCAAGAAATGATGACTAAGAGACACGAACTGGAAGTTATGATGTATGGCCACACAATATAGTCTTATCGGTGAAGTGACGATTGCAAATGACACATGTGATGAATTCTTGCTTACACATTAAATTTAGTTAATATATATGAGCCAAATACATGCAAAGACGTTAAAGAAGTGAAGCATGCTGTAGAAGAAAAACAAACAACATGACATTGCCATTACACGAATGATAAAAGTACATACTCGTTTATCATGCCATGTCTTGTTGTTGGGATATTGAAAGAAAACATTGCAAAGAGTAAAGATAGAAAAATTTTAAAATATTCACGACGGAACTTATTTGTTGTTCGTAAGCTAATTCATTTGAGGGATCCATGCAAAATGTTTGTTCGGAAGAATACTGTTCAAACTTTTAAATTCCTTCGTGAATGGATTGTGGGTTTTCTAACATAATACTCCTATAATCACCATAAAAGTATCAAAGTGCTTTTTTTTAAGAATCTAAAACCAATTGCTTGCTACAAGGAGCACAGTAGGAGAGGTAACGTTTAGTAGCAGTCATGTAGTGAGTGTATGTACAGGGCTTCAGACATGTAAGTAGGTAGAGATTTTGGAGAGATGTTTGTTTATAATTAAAATGTTCATCATTGTATTCACGAAACCTAAATACCTTCATGTCAGCGTATATATTGTTGGCAATACCAGAATAATGTTGCGTAAATGGAGTGTTTTTTGCGGTATTTACAAACGCAACTGGCTTTGCTTTTTTAGTGTAAGGTAAGTTTATTTTTTCATTTTTATCGTTTAATAATAGATTGTGTTGATATTTTCGATTTATTTATTGTATGCTACAATCCTGAGTTCATAATAATTAGATTTAGTATTTTTTTATTATTAATAAGCTCTAACACTGGACATACATACTCAGTGGGAAAAGAATACCAGAAAAAGTTTTTGGATTTTGTACAAAAAAATTAAAAACGAAGAAAAACCACATCGATTTCACGCCATAGAAATATATAAAAACAAACGTGGCAATATATCAATACACGTAAATATCAATAGACCGTCATAAATGGAACGTTTGAGGCAAAGTTGGATAAACAGTAACACTGATGACGCTCTATGCAGTGAAATTGAGAGAGGCAAAGAGGAGTATTCACCTGTGTGACCGGATTCTCTCCGGGTCGGTAGACGACATTGTGTAGGGGTCGCTTCCTCCCCACGTAGTTGACGCACACGAACTCTAGTAACGACGCATAGATAAAACACATGCATACGCCGTCCCACACGTTCATCGCCGTCAGGTTTGAGACGACCGGCAATGTCGATCTGAATCCATTCGATGTAGTGAAAAAATTCAACATTGTCGTTACACCTGTACGAAAAGCAAAGTAACATGAGAATTTCATCAAACTTATAAACTATTTGAAATATCTTTTTACCTACAGATAGTTAATTAAAATTGAAAAACTAAGCGTGTTCATGATAATGTTATTTTTCTATCTAGAACAGAATGTAAAATTGTTAAGCTCTACAAAATATTCTTAGTATTTAAAATGAATGTCATGCGATTACCCATACAATTCTAATCACGAATAGCCAATCAAAAGCAAAGTTCGAATTGCATAACATGATAAAATTTGGAATACCAAGGTACTTACAATATTTGTCTCTATTTGGTAACCATTAATAGGCTTATTATAGAAGTTAATTAAGATTGATGTTATTAAATTGTAATTTATAATTCAGCAAATAAAACAGTGAAACCAACCTATCATTACTCTAGCAGGCACTGCATTCCATTCCAGCCAAAAAGTAATAAACGATGAAGTCACCAAAATGATCCCCGGTATGAAAACTGTGGTGAAGTAAAATGATCTATCCCGCGTGAAGATAAGATCCACTTTGAGACAGCTGTAATTACCTAAAAATGTCAAGCATATACTAAAAATAAACAAAAACCAAAATCGGCGGGTGAGAATGATTCGTCGGCTGACTATGAGAATTATTAACATATAGTAAGCGATCCTGCAACAGATAGCGTGTTATATCAACAGCCGCAGCCAACATCTACGAAGAGTAAAATTGATGCAGTACGCAAGACCGAGAGCATTCCAGATACCAGCCACATTTTTACCTATCATGGAACGGGCTGGTACTGCGTTCCATTCCAGCCAGAACGTGATGAACGAGGAAGTCACCAGAATGATTCCAGGGATAAATACTGTTGTAAAGTAGAACGCTCGGTCTCTAGTAAATATTAAGTCGACCTTTAGACAGCTGTAGTTACCTGTGGAGTGAATATCATTAGGTACAATTGGAGCATCGTAGTGCGCGGTTATGTTCTCGTTTAATTTCAAAACAAAAGTAAGGATCCAGGATACAAAATTCCAAGTAACTCAATTCAGAGGCCTTGTTAAAATTAAAGTACATATGAACAGCCAAAACATCATCTAATATACTAACTACTGTTCTGTATGTATGAGTAATGCGTGTTGTGTTGTCACGTGTCATATCAAGTTTATGAACATACATTGTAGCATTATGACGTCCATCAAAAACGATACAGCGTACTATCAAACGCATGCTCTTACAGTCGTGTATGGAATTTATATGGGCATGCATGAGACAATGAACAAAGTGATGAGCTCTTAACTAACACAACATTAATGCTTGGTGAGTTATAAGAAAAGTATCGCAAGGAGCAAACCTTCGACTTTCCATCATCACGGCGGTTTACAACACATTGTACAACACTTTATCATTATAACACAATTACGCATTTACTCACACATAAGCAAAAAATATTTGAAATACGACGACACCGGACCGAACGGTGCCTCGTCCGGTGCAACTTTAGTACCTTGCTCCTCAAAGCGTCTCTGGCAAAGATTACATGTCATCTCTTCGTCTTCCTCGTAAAGTGAATTACCCTCAGCTGCTTGCAAAGACGTTAATAAATTCTTACACTCTACATTCTCAACAAACTAATTAAAACATTTAGATGTCAGGAATAGCAAAATTGAATAAGTGACTAGGCTACACAGTTGTACTGACACAATTGATACTATAGTCATCACATTGTATGATCGGACGCACAACCTAGATGAACATGCTGGATAGCTAGGGGTACTCCTAATGTACTCGACAAACTGTGATCGCATAACGTACACTATCAAGCATCTACTGTATAAAATATATATTTATATATAACTTTTAGAACACACAAAATAAATTAAGTACTTATAAAAATTAACCTTTTACATAAATCAAGACCAAGCTGAAAAGAGTTAATCAGAATTTCAATATAATTAGGCAACCTTTGACCATCTCTTGTGCAAAATATAAGATGTGCTTTAACAAAATATCTAATTTTGGTTAACTAAGCTACCGTATAGGGCGAAAATAATATATGATTGGGAGGGTATTTTTCTTAAGAATAACGTTTTAGAAGCGATGTTGGTATGTTGTATGTATGTATACGTGGCTATGAATAATGTTATATTTTACCTCTCCAACTGGCTTTGATAGGGCAGGGAATGGTTTGGTTCTGGATGAGGTACGCATTGAGCGTCGTTAGGGACGGCGACTTGCGCAGCGTGTCCTCGTCGTTCTTCCACACGTAAGTTATGGCTGACTGCTCGTACGATACTAGAAAACGCAAAATGTTATTATAACCAATGTAATCACGCCTTTTCACTCAGGAGATAAGGTGCACAAATGCAACAATCAAACTTAACTATAGGAAGTGCTTTCTATAAAGGATAGATGCATAGTAGGACCAGTTGACTTACTACTTTCTAAGGCAAATGAACACAATGGGTCATCAAAAGGAAAGATGTTGAGCCGCCCCTGACAGGACAGGATGAGATGCCGCCGCATCAAGTAGTTTATAGTACCATTGCGATATATACGCAAAGCGAAATGCATTGGTATTATCGGGTCCTGAAAAATAAACACAGTTAAGAATATAATCTAGTTTAAGGAATCATCAAAACAAAGCATTTGCACTATTTAATTACGCTCCTATCCTAAATACTCCTACTAAATGGTGTTCACAAATATTACTTGTCACCAAAACCACCGGACCAAATGTTACGATGATATCTACGAAAAACAACTCCAAAAGGTCTAGATTGCATGTTTAAAACCAGAAAGAAATCGAGGCGAGCATGAAGTGTCAGCTATAAAAATATTCGTATGTACAAAAAATGGTCCTTTTAGATTCATGAAGCATTGTATGTAGTTATAAATACCCATGAGTGCTGGGAAAACTCCTTCAGAAGAAAGCATGGTGGAAATAATTATGTATAAAATTAGATGAAAATATAATTTTGACGATATCTTCAGTCAATTAATCAATCATGTATTTTATCTAGACTAAGTTCGATACGGACCTTAAAGTCACCGTGCATGATGAAATACGTATCCGGCAACCAGATGTCTTCGTGATGATGGATGGCGTTAAGGAAGTCGTAATGAGACTGGTTGGAATAGCGCAGTCGAGGGTCGTACCACTGCTGCTGAAGTAAGAATTCCACTTCGTATTTCTGGAAGCGGTCAATTTAGACAGAGGATTGAAACTAAATAGAGAAAAGAAGTGGTAAGAGATATCTTTTAGGTGCAATGATACTTACAAGACTAGATTCGTCCGGAGAGGCTAAGCTAAGAAGTAGTACGCTTACATTTACGGTGAGGACACCTGAAAACAACATAGTTAATAATATTCATAGCATGGCTAAAGTCAGTTATACAAGACACAACAACGATATACATTTAAAATACATGCTTGCTAACAATTGTGCTGGAGTTCAGTAGGGTCTACCTATCTTGACTTTACTGGTTTGTCCTGACCTTGCAACTCTGTTAGTATTAAAATTTTGATATGTCGTAACAAAAATCACAATCTAAGAAATAATGATTGGAAGGTAGAAGGTATAATCAAAATTAAATTGCAAAAATCAACCGTAGGCTAACACATGTTGCAATAATAACGAAAATTGTAAATAAGAAATTGGCAGATCCGATTTCTATTGGAAAAGAAGTAAGTATGAATTTACGACAGGTAAGAATTCGTAACTCTGTGTTTAATGTTTGTGAAAAGAGAAAATCATTTGAGGCAAAAAGCATGGCGTAAAAAGAAAACTCGTTTTAATATTAGGTGACTGAACCATTACACACGGTGTCTTTTTATTAAACAAATATAAAATAATACTTAAAATAGCTCAGTGGCCAACCAACGAAATAATTAGTCCAAATAATATCAATAATAAGATTGGGTGTGTTCTAATCTAATACATCAACGTTGAAGTGCAATAATACTGGTAGGAAATGTGACTCATATAATATGTATATGTAAAAAAGTATTCTAAAGCCAAGGATCAGGTATCTACAGTTGCGTGAGGTAATAGAAGAGTTGAAGTTGCGTGCAAGGAAATAATTACAAGGACATAATTTGCTACGATCCAGATACATGTGGAAGGATTTCTCTTTTCATAAACATGGAACACAACGCACCACGATTGTGCGAGCGAGGCCGCAGAGACGAGAGCCCCACATTATTTTGTGCCAGAGAGTCGTTGGGCGAAGTTAGACCACAACAGAATTCTGGATCTGCAATTTACACCAATTTTGAATGACCTACATAATCCTTATACTCAAACGCAACATATAAGGTTTTCAAATTATATCAATAGTTTAATCAAATAAAATGTTCTGACGTAATTTGAAAACCACTGTCTTATTCTATGCAGATATTACGAGTAGCATAACAATGATGACATTTACCATCTACTGGTGGCAACAGTCTTTTGTCATAGCGGGAGTTTTTCAGAAGGTTGTCCAGTATCTCTTTGTCCGACTTCCCCGCTGCAAATCTGGAGAACAGTGAATAGAATTTATATAATAACTTCGAAGCAATTTTGCATTTGTAAAGAACCTTTTAAATCACCAAAATAATGGAGTGGAAGCGCGTTCTAGGGAAGATTTATGCCGTTAACATAATATTATGGCAAATTAAGCGTGTGGAACGCACAGCAGTACGCTTAGTATTGATTTTAGATTAACACTTATTACCTTGCTGCTACAAAAGCCGTTCAATAAGCTAATAAACAGAGCAATGACACATTCTAATAATAAATATTGAAGTTCACATAGTTAACAACAATAGGTAAGTAACTTATGAAGTCATTATTTGAAACACAAGTATGAACTAACTACAAACAATGTTTATTGTGTACTTGGAGAACAAAGATAGGAAGAGTTAATAATATACTGAAATACGCGTGTAAACCTAACTTTTGGTTGAGAGCGGAAACAAAAGCTTTGTGTGTTATAAATAAATAAATAAATATCTTTATTATCTCAAAATCATTACAGTACTTATTGTAATTGAGGCAGCCCCAGTAAGTAAATAGAATATACTTGTGTTGGGGTTGTCTCGCTTCTTCCCTTTATAGTTTACAAGTAACAATAGTGAGACCTTAACAGATAGGAATTTAAAACTAATGTTCAAGGTATTTAAGAACTAATATAAAATCTAATAAGTAGGTATTTTAAAAATGATTGTAGGTACTTAAAAATAATGAAAAAATGGGTATTATTCAAAATTTACATGGAGAAAAATAAATAACATGAGACTTTAAGTAGGTTAGAGAACCTTAAACTTATAAGACAAAACTAATGGTATAATCAGAAACAATACTATTAATTTTTTACTTTTGGAGCAGCGTGTGATATGCACGATGTATGTTTTAAGTGAGTGTATGTATTGGTGTGGGTTTGAGTGTGTATGTATGTGTGTGTGTGTGTGTGTGTGTGTGTGTGTGTGTGTGTGTGTGTGTGTGTGTGTGTGTGTGTGTGTGTGTATGCGGGTGTGTGTGTGTGAATGATGACTATCATGTGTTTACTCATTTTATTGTTTTTATGATATTAGATTTTTTTAACTAATTCTAACTAATAGGTGCTCTGTTTCCTCATAACTTAGATTTTTCAGCCACTCTGTTAGTAGTTTTTTGTATTCATGTTGAACCTTAGGATAGAATTGTAGTGTGCCGTTTATCTTATTATAAATATAAGCAGATTGACATTTATATTGCCTTTTCGCAAAAACTGTGCGTACTCTTTGTGAGTGAACCACGTAATCATTACGTCTTTTATTTTTATTTGTAGGACTAAATGGAACAGTTTTGTGCAGATAGAGAATCGTGTTTAAATAATATAACTTCCTAACTGTTAATAAGCCACTAGTTTTATATAATTTATCTGTTGGATGTCTATACGGAAGAGAGTACATAACCTTTATGAGCGAACGTTGAGACCTTTCCAATTCTAAAAATTTTGTTTTTGTGGCGCCACCCCAGACAGGAATGCAATATGTGATAACTGACTGGGCCAACGCCACATATATGTTATTGAGAAGTTCAGGGGACATGACATACCGCAATGTTCTGAATACCCAACTGAATCTTCTAATACGGGTCATGACAGCTTCAATATGTGGGTGCCACGAGAGGCGTTCGTCGAGAATGATGCCCAGGTATCTAGTAGATTTTACTTGTTGGATATTCAGACAATTACATGATGATTCATCTGGTTTGACACATTCATGAAACCCGACCCTGAAATCGACTCCTGGTTTTGATTGTTGACTAGGTGAAAAACATATGTAATTAGTTTTAGTAATATTAAGGGTCAGAAGATTATTTTTTAACCAACTACCTATTACACTAAGACCTAGCTCAGCAGTACGACGTGCAGTTTCCCAGGTATCACCTGAAAAAACGACTGCGGTGTCATCCGCATAGCAGAAAATTCCACCGCCACTGCTTTCGAGATTACACAACTCATTGATGTAGACCAAAAACAGTGTCGGTCCAAGTACGCTTCCCTGCGGGACACCAAATACCACATTTTCTTGGTTACTACAGAAGTTATCAATTTTTACTTGTTGTGTCCTACACCGAAGATAACTATCAAAAAGGGAAAGAGCCCTATCTCTTATCCCAATGTTTTCGAGCCTCTGCACAAGGATGGAGACGGAAACGGTGTCAAAAGCTTTTTTTAAATCTAGGAACACTGTTATACATTTATATCCCTTGTCAACTTTATCAATAATTTCAGAGGTTAGTGCTATAACGGCATCTTGAGTAGATCGACCTTGCCTAAAGCCATATTGACTTTGTGAGAGAATATTAAATTTCTTCAAGTAATTTACAAGTCTTTTATTTAGTATCTTCTCTATGATTTTGGAAATAGATGGCAAGACCGAAATAGGTCGATAATTGTTGACATCGTCCATGTCTCCACCCTTGTGCACAGGTGTAACTAATGACCGTTTAAAAGCGTTAGGGAATATTCCCCTTTCGAAGCATAGATTTGTTAATTGACAGATAAGGGGAACTATAAAATCTCTAGATAGTTTTAGGAAATATATAGGTATGCCGTCCCAACCGGTGGCACTCCCTGAGTCGAGGGTCATAAGTATGTCATTCACTTCATTGTTGTCAGTTTCTAGTAACACGAATGAGGAAACTTGAGAGTTAGTATTAAAGTTACTGACTAATCTAGGCGGTGGACTGGATTGAGCCATAATTTCTTCTGCTAACACTTGACCAATAGTGACGAAAAACTGATTCACACGATTTAAAGAGTCGAGGGGATGTTGTGTGATTAGAAGAAGACGTGCGTTAGATACCTTGGGTTTTTTATAATGAGTTATATTATTAATTTCACGCCAAAGATTTTTAGGCTTTTTTATTGAAAGTTTAATTTGATTTTTATAATATAGCCTCTTCATTTTCCTTATTAAATTAGTACAGAACGTGCGGAAACGTTTATAGGTTATTTTTAATATAACGTCATACGGGTCTTTTCTCGACTTAATCTGCATTTTGTTTCTAAGTCTGATGCATCTTAGAACCCCGATTGTTATCCAGGGTTTTGATATACGGTTGGAGCAAGGGACTGACTTGACACTGGTATTTACAGTAAGGGATGTTTTGATCAAATCTATCAGTTTGTCAGCCAGGATGTTAGGGTTTTTGTATATATTAAAGAACGATATATCTGAATTAATAAGATGTTTATAAGCATTTTCAAAGTTGATTGTGGATTTTGATTTAATATTTATTTTGGTTTGGTATGTGTGGGCTATATTTAGTAGAACTGTAGAGTGGTCCGTGACAGATGTATTCAAAATGGCCACAGATGCGCTATTTTTAGATTTATCCAGTTTAAGGAGCATATGATCTAAGCAACTTTCATATCTGGTGGGTAAACGATGTCCCGGTATAAAGCCGTGGATAGACGACATGTTTAGGTATGTTAATCTGTTATATCGTAGTTGTGACGATTCTGACGTGTTTTCAATTAGGTTTATATTAATATCTCCTGTAATGATTATATTTTTATGTGTTTGGATTTTTTGAAGATGTTGATCTAGTGAGTTAATAAATGTTTCCGCGGAGACGTTAGATGGGGACCTATAGATACCAATTATAGTGTAGTTAGATATAATTATTTGTAAAGCTGTTGCATGTGTTATGGTGATTTCAGTTACATTGGAAATATAGATGTTTTTTATGTATACTACCACGCCATCGTTTTGATTAAGTTGCCTAGATGTGGTAAATGAAGTGTAATTGCTTAAAACAGGTATGGATTTGTTAATGTTAAGTCTACACTCAGTTAGTATTAACACGTCTACACTTATTTCTAACTGGGACAAAGTTATTTGAAAATCATCGAAGTTGCTGTATATACTCCGTATATTTTGTGTCAGCACAGTTAAATTAGAATCAGTATATTGCAGAAAACTTGATAACTTATCAATGTCAACAATGGCTGAGTTCGAAATTTCAATACTGTCTAACTCTTGAAATGAACAAATGTTACTATCCATTAGTTAATAAGGTTGAAGAATAAGGGTGCTTCCCGCGGATTATATGAGTTTTAGATGTAATTAGGGCATATAACTGTAAGAAATCGAGTTGATTTTTTTGCAAGAAAGGTAGTATATGAGGAAACATTATATTAAAACCTGAGTAAGTTGAGTGTATTAGTGAATGTGTTTTTGTGTGAATGAGTGTTGAGTGAATGAGTATAACTATTTTGAGACAATTTAAGTATGATAATTTGTGAAGACTAATTAATAGTAAAATGTATGTAACAGATGTGTGGTGTGTATGCTTATAGTTGTAACAATATTTAGTTATAACAATTTTATGACTTATATACGTAAAGTAAAAACGAAAACTTAATCTTATGATATACATGAGTACTAAAAGCACTAAAACTAACTCTAATATAATAGTGCTCGCAGCCACATCTCGCTTCAGTCATGCTTGTTGTAGCAGATGATGTACTTGTGACTCACTTTTGATGACTATTGCCCGTGAATTCTCGTCTTTTTTTATTAAAACTCGTCCATGAGCAGTCCAACAAAACTTGTATTGCTTACTTCTAGACAAGTCACGAGCCAGGAAGAATAAACGGGCACCTTTGGCGGTGAGCTGCTCGGATATGAACACAGGGACCTCCGCGTTATTGTTGATTCCGAGATGTTTAGCTTGAAGTTTGGCCTTGTTCCTGATAATATAAGACTTGACTTTTTGTAATAAGTTTGTTTTTAACATAGTGGAACCTAGTTCTATAATTATAGGGGTGTTCAAGACCCCTTCTTTCTTAACCGGTAGACGAAATATATCCTTAATATCGTGTGAGTGCAAATCAAGACTGACGTACTTCGATAAGTTCAGTAGCATAGAAGTTAGGTCGTTAGTACTTTCTTTAGGCATCCTGGGTACGTTTTTCAACTCAATGCAAGTTTTTCTAGAGTACCTTTGTTGATCTTCCAACTTGTCTTCTAGTACAGCTATGTACTCCCGGTCTTTTTTACACTGCAGCTCAAGCGATTCTATTTTTTTACGAAATTCTTCGTTTTGACTTGATAAATTAAGGATGGATGACTCAATATTGTTATTTGTTAATTGTATATCCTTGAGATTCGATGCGATCATCTTTAATTCTTTTTGTTGGTTTGCCATATACGAGCTTAACATGCTCATAATTTCATCCTTAAAGTTACGGAATTCTTCTGGTAGGTCGTCTTCTCTGATTCTTTTACTACGTGTAGAAATGTAGTTAGGGGGGGTGGTGTCCAATCCCAAATTACAAATATTGCTATCAGAAAAAGATTTATCCATTTTAAGAGCGTGCGATGTACTAGGATATAATAGAAGCGAGGAGTTAATTACTCACTGAGGTGGCCGGACGAGTCAAGTTGTCAATCACTGCAAAAGAGGCGGCGCAAGCGCAGGTCAAACCAATGACTTTCTAGAGGGCGGCGCTTGACCTTGAAATAGGCGTCACTTATTCTGAGGAGGGCGGTGCATTAACTTCGTGAGTGGTTGGCGTCCTTGTAGAGATTAGCCAGTGACCAGAGCGGGCGTAAAAAGTGCGTGTGCGCTGATTCGATGAATCCGACTCAGGTACCAGGATAACAGAATAGGTGAGGGTAATATTAATCGCCGTACTCACGCGGTGTCAGTCAACGTCTGAGCAACCTCTTGCACTTTATGTAGTCCTATTATTTCACTTTATTTAATTTTAAATAAAACTTTATTTAATTTGTTTTAAAAATAAAACGGGGTCTTGTGCACGTCTACACCTTGTGGTGGTCCGGGGGGAAGAGCCAAGCGTGTGTTGCATGGAGCATGGAGTTTGTTCATTCGCTAAACTGGTTACAAACTCATCAAGATATAACCGTACGACGTTCGAAATAATTACATCAAAACTACGAAGGCACTACACAACTAAAATGATTTATGTTTGCACAATAGAAGGGAAAGTGATGTAGGAGATAATATACCCCTTGCCGGACAATTTGTTTAGTATAGTGCCCGCAGTATTAATGGAGCGGGAACTTCACGCTTGGACGGGCGTGGCACGGCTGCCGTGTTACATACGCTTCGCCGCCTCCCACTCGTCGTGTCCTTCCACGCTATACTCATTATCATCTAAATCTATTGTTGTTTTAATCTACAGAACACCTGCTTTTGAATCTTACAATTTCTGAAGGTCACGTCGGGAATTTATTGCCAATGTAAACACATTGTTCTTAAAAGAAAAATGGCTCGTTTATATACGAGTGAAAAATTCTTTGTTGAATGAAATCAATTGCGTATTTTTTAGTTTGTCGTAGGTCAGCAAATTGGCAGACAGATTACCTGATGGTAAGCAATCAGCGCCGCCCGTGGACATTTGTATTACCAAAGGATTTACTACAAGTGCGTTGCCGGACTCTTGTGTGTTATTAGGTATTTAAGGATTAAGGATGGAGAGTGGGAAGGATCAGGCACTCGGTAACTTCACTAATATGACGAAACACAACAAAGTGTTGCTTTACGCCGGTTTTCTGTGAGGCCGTGGTATCACTCCGGTCGAGCCGGCCCACTCGTGCTGAAGCACGGCTCTCCCACACTTATAATTTGCTAGATTAACAAAATCAATAGCACTACTAATTAAAACGATAAAATGCAATAACTTACATGTCTGATGTGAGTGCTGACGCTCGGCTGAGCATGAGGAAGATAGCCACAGCGCGTGCCACGACGCATGACCAACCCATATTAGGACATCTGTAAAAAGTTTAATACACTCTGTAGATATCAGCTGCACTAATCATAATTATGACTACTTCAAGGAGATAGAGATCCTGCACCTAGTAGATATACGCATATTCTTTAGTTGTCGTGGTGGTCCAGAGGATAAGGTTCGAAATCTAGTAAGTGTCAATGTGGGATATTCCGATCATATTTACGGCGAAGGAAAACATCGTGAGGAAACCTGAACGAATAATTTATTATAAATAGATTGAAATCGCCTATCTGCTTTTTCTTGTAAGAAGAACCCTCAGCAATGGGCACTTATAGCACAGTATAAATATCATACAGTATTGTAACTCGGCCGCTTGAAAGAAATAAATACCTACAGCCGCGCGGTACGTAAACATGCGTTAGGGCTGCTCGTCTCCAGTATTTTAATTACCTTTGTCTACTTTCTGTTTCCATTTAGTTTTGTGATTGTAAATATCCATTTTTATATAAACAAATAAAGTGCTTTAAAAATAAACAAACAATATTTCTTTGGCCACTAATGCCGAATTGAACAGCTGACTACGAATGTTCTAAAATCACAACCCTCAAACATCAAAATATTACATGGGTCTAGCTGTTTTATTGTTGTTATTAAATATTTTCTAGTATTATTCATAAACGCAGATAATAAACAAATATTATTAATAATAAAATACCACACTCTCTACTTTGAATTATACAAACTAACAAAACATACATGAACCGTTTTAACACAAGCGTAAGTAGGTAGGTACCTAACATATCATGATTCATTCAGAACCAGAACCGCCTATAACTACCTATTTCACTCGTCTCAATAACTTTATTCATATTATTTATAAATTCAAACATCTGTTTTCGTGAGATAACTGGAAATAATGATCCATAAAGACACACATTATTTACCTACCTAGGCTACTAGTAAGTAAAATTATTTTATAGTCATACCTTTCAGAGTTTCCAGGTAATTTTAAAAAAACTTATGTCTGGATGCGTTATTGACGAATTCATGCAACCAAACATAATAACAGCACAATATTTCCTATTCGTCATATTAAATAATGTACTCGAGCTGATTTCTAAATAAAAGACAACACACCGTCCGTTCGTCACTGCGGTACAGCCGCGTCTGTCTGCGTCCCGAGCGCGTCCCGACATCGGGCGCGTAGGTATAGTTCGCGTTTCGGCCGTTTCTATGAAGTTGAAATACTTGTAGATATTATTACCTTGCTTATAGGCTGATGACGGGATTTGTGACGTATATCCCCCTGTAAAAATCATCACTATGCGATATATCTTCCTAGTAAAAGAAGTAGCTTTGAGTTAAGGTCTCATCGAGGTAGTATATCGCTAAAAAATGGTAGGAGGCGTTGCTTCACAAAGGGGATCATCAAGCTGATGATAATGTACGTAACACAGTCAAATACCTTTTTAGTGTACTCTTTGTCATATAAGACCTTACCTAACCTCAGTTTTCTACGCTTTTGGAATACTACACAAATAAAGCATTGTCAAGTCTCCTAAAATTCATACGTTAATGTTAATTGTACTTCTAGAACTACTAATGAGTGTGAAAAACGTGACTAAAAGCTTGCATATCCCTAGCGAATTGTGTTTCGTAGATTACGGGTCAGAGACCAGAGACTTGGTGCCCTCAAGAAGAGTTTGGATTAACCGTCACAGTCAAGAGGTTACACCTATGATACCTTTATTTCATATAGCGTAAAATTATTATGCAAATGTGATTGTCATGGTATGGCAATTATATTTGCGTGTAGGTAGAATGGAAATGTGTATTCTTAGAAACGTTATTATTTTAAAATATTACGAAGTTTCGTTACCTACAACATACTGAAATTTATATCTTAAATTGAACTGCATAATTTTGGGAAAGCCATGTTTCATGAATTTGTCGGCTCGACCCGAATAGGTACCACAGCGTTGTGTTTAGCCGTGTGAGCGAGAGTTACTAGAGGTAGAATCTTTCCCCTTCCCCATCTCTCACCAATCCACAAAACCTACTTATGTCCAAAAGGCCGGCAAAGCACTTGCAACTCTTTTGGTGTTTCGGGTGATCATAGGCATCGCCGATTGGACCAGCATTCAGTGTGAACATTTGCCGTCGTATTACAAAGCCAAAAAAAACAATATTTGATTCTGTATTGCATAAGTAAATCAATGATATGGTTTTACTTCTGTCTTCTTTTACCATCAAAAGCATATTAAGTTACCTCACGTAACCATAAGTCGATATTTTCCCCATGTATATACATATATCTATGTACCTATGTATACATATCTAACGTTCATACGTCACAAGTATCGAGGGCGATAAACCTTTTGTAACCATTTTTGTATCAATATTCTTCCAGTTCAATTTATTTGAGTACCAATACATTTGTTTGGTAAATAAGTTATATTAGGAGCTACAAATAAGTTTTCCTTTCGTTTCCAGAGAAAATAATATACCTTCTTACAAAGAAAACAGAAACTACTATTACTTATGAAATACGGGGAACAAATATAGAGATACTTATGAGATTAATGAAATGATGGAATTAAATTATTTTGGGAGAGAAACCTGAGTGGTTTTTTATAGGGCTGAGCGTTTCTGCTTTCAAAGTTATTATAAAACTTAAATTGATTAAACAGAGTGCAAAACTGACTGTTGGGACTGCTAAGCAGTGAGTGAGGTTCACATCTTAGGTTGACTTTGGTCAAAAGGTAACCCTACTACTGAGTTAGGATCTTCAAAAAGTTTAAAAAACGCTTGAACGATGAGATTCATTACATACACGAACATACATATCTGGTAAATAGATTATTTTATATTATTATCTAATTAGTATCTGCACCTACATTCAAACAGAGAAGGAAACGTAACCAGAAAAATTAAAAAAAAAAAACAATTTACAAAAAAAAAACCGCAATAATGTGACCAAAATTTTAATTTCAAATGGGTTGTCATGAAATTGCACGTAGATACATATACGAGTATTTATACAGTTAAAGTATAAACATGCATAGGTAGGCATAGTTGCGAGCGCCAATGAGTCGCGTGTGGTCTCTTATTGACGTCATAACCGTAATACAACTTTTTGAAAGTAGGTCATGTTTTCTGCGCGCAGCAAAAAATAATATCATAAGCCTTCTAGCACGCTAACTCGCGCAACCCTACTCGCGGCTGTGTTTATACATTTTATTCGCAAATTACGTATGCTAATTAAATAGGGTTGATACACACGTATGGTTAACAGAAAAGAAGCTTAACTAAAAAAATAAGGTATTTGAATCTTAAAAATTATGCTTCAATAATAAGGTTTAATTCTGGAATACCCTCTTTTATGAGTTAGTCCTGTTTTCTATTTAACATGACGTATATTTTTATAATATGGATAATTGCTATGTGGAGTCCGATTTCAGAACAGTTTTACTCAACCCGCTGGTATTGTCAGACCGGACTAAGATTCTCTGATATACCTGAACCTTTTAAACTATTAAAATCTCCAAACCTGCTAATTATGTAGATCTTCGCTAAATAGTAAAAACCTTATGCGTAAAAAAGGCCCTTAGTTAAGCAGAATTATATGATCTGGGCGGTTGAAGATGAATACGTATGCGTCATTGGTGAAATCTATACATATAATAAAATCGTAGGAAAGTCAAAACTGTACATTGAATATATTTTTGAAATAATACTTGGGGCGTGATGTACAATCGATATTGAAGCCAAAAATATGGTTTTTAGAATTTTTGTCTGTTTGTCTGTATGTTTGTTACGGATAAACTCAAAAAGTACTGCATGGATTAAATTGAAATTTTGCATGAACATAACTGACAGGTCGGTTCATCACATAGGCTACATATTATCACGCTATCACCTACAGGGTATGAGTAATGAACCTTTATATCTGTAAACCTTACTGAAGCAGCATGTAGTGTTACCTCATACACATTTAAATTACGTTTGTAAGCAGGTTATTTGACAGGACGTGCTATCACAAACCTAGACACAAAAAAAAATGAAATCTATACATATAATAAAATCGTAGGAAAGTCAAAACTGTACATTGAATATATTTTTGAAATAATACTTGGGGCGTGATGTACAATCGATACTGAAGCCAAAAATATGGTTTTTAGAATTTTTGTCTGTTTGTCTGTTTGTCTGTATGTTTGTTACGGATAAACTCAAAAAGTACTGCATGGATTAAATTGAAATTTTGCATGAACATAACTGACAGGTCGGTTCATCACATAGGCTACATATTATCACGCTATCACCTACGGGGGATGAGTAATGAACTTTTATATCTGTAAACCTTACTGAAGCAGCATGTAGTGTTACCTCATACACATTTAAATTACGTTTGTAAGCAGGTTATTTGACAGGACGTGCTATCACAAACCTAGACACAAAAAAAATGAAATATAAAATAAAACATAGACTTATATTGGTAAAATTGTTGCTTCGGAATTCATACAATATTTTTGTGTATAATTATAAACATAGGTGTGATGAAGAACTAGCATTTTTTTTTTATTCATATACGGTTACGTTTTTTTCACGTTGAAAACGTATTCAGCCGTAATTGAGAAATTATTATTGTTTACCATATAAAAATGTTTCCATTTTTCTAACTAGATGGTGTTGGCGTCGAATTAGATCGCGCTATGGTTTCGTTCACAAAAAGTGATGTTATGAGTACCGATGTCGCCGCTTCAACCTATAGAAACGGGGTTACCTGCGTTGTTTATAAGTTATCGAGATTCTCAAATTATTCTGTTTACTACATGTTAATTTGTCTTTTAGTAGTAAAAAAGCCCAGAAAGCGGTCTAATCTATCACAATCGTCATACCATTCGTGAAAAAGAAGGTTAGCTCGATCCCTTGAAACCGCTGACGAGCGTGAGGCCAAGTTGACTGCTGTTCGTGAACAAATTGCAGAGACTCGAAGAGGATAATGTAGTACGGCGCGCCAGTCGCGATTAGATACCATGCGCACTCAAAATGCATTGTCGCGGTCTCAGGAAAGTGCAGAAGCACATGAGATGCGGCTGTCAATTGACCGAGAGCGCCATGCTAAGTCACGCGCGTCAGAGACGTTCACGCAGCGAGAGACGAGGCTGAGTTCTCAGCGCAACCGCACTGATGTCGCTCGATCTTGTGAGAGTGTCGAAGCGCGACAAATTCGACTGGAAAGTGATCGGGAGCGCCACGCTGATTCTCGCGCGTCTGAAACGTACACGCAACGAGAGGCGAGGTTATGTTTGCAGCGGAGCCGCGCTTCTTTTTCTCGGTCGATTGAAGACGATGAAGAACGGGAGACCCGCTTAAGAAGAGACCGCTCTCAGATGAGCAGCGTGAAGAACGTCGTGCAGCTGCTCGGCAGCGGTACCACGAACTGCTTGGAGATGCGTCTACTCATCTATCACAAGAACGGGACAGAATTCAAGAGATTCGGGGAACTTGGTCGGACGAACAGCGTGCGGCACAAGTAGAACAAGATCGCCTGCGTCGTAACGTAAATCAGCTTTCAACATCTGATGAAGAATCCACGGTTTACGGTATCGAAGAGCAACCATGGCTAAACAAAGAGGGAAGTGGATTTATGTACAATGTTGCGATTAACTACGCCGCTTATGGCAATATTGGTGCCTTAGAAGAAGTGTGTGCTCACTGCCAAGCACGCAAATGGAAAGGGGAGCAAATGGGATGTGTTGTGCATCTGGTAAGGTCCGCTTGGACTCTATGCAGGACCCGCCAGACCTGTTATGGTCACGCGTTCATACGCTGCGCTTGACCATCAATATGAGAGCTCAGCTTGGCGGCAATACACGCGCTCAAGAATTCTCTGATGTCCTTCAAAGTCTCGGCGACGGTACTCTACCAGAGGAGAGGGGCGGACAGGTGGTGCTCCCAGAATCTCTCGGTAGAGTCTTAGATGAACTCATTCGCTGCGTGTACGGGGAAATCAGTCGAATACCGCACTAGCCGAATTCTTGGGCATGCGAGCGGGCCATTTTGACGCCTAAAAAGGATCAAGCTGCAGCAATCAATGAAAGCATTCTCTCGGAAATTGAGGGGAATGAAGTGGTGTACACCTCCATAAACACCGTAGTCGAGCAAGATGACGCCACACACTATCCGGTGGAATTTCTCAACTCCCTCACAGCAAGTGGACTTCCAGCACATAACATCAAGCTGAAGGTTGGCGTCCCGATCATGCTTCTTCGGAACCTGTCTCCTCCGAAGTTGTGTAACGGGACCCGCCTTAAAGTCATATCACTGCATAGAAATATTATCGAGGCGGAAATTTTGACGGGTTGTGGCGTCGGCGAGGCAGTGTTTATACCACGCATTCCCCTCATACCTCATAACTACCCCTTCCAGTTCAAGCGTGTGCAGTTCCCTGTGAGTGTTTGCTTCGCGATGACTGTCAATAAGTCACAGGGACAGACACTGAAGGCTGCGGTTGTCGACCTATAGACGAGCTGCTTCTCACACGGACAACTGTACGTCGCTTGCTCCCGCGTCACCAGTCCTGACTCTCTATACATTTTGGCTACTGAGAGCAAAACTACAAATGTAGTTTATAGAGAAATTTTATAATTGTGTTTCTTTAAATTCTGTTATTCGTGGGATGTAGGAATTAAACCATATTCAAAATTCACCTGCGCTATGAGATGTACTCATGAGGTGAAGTTATACTGCAGCGCCAACTGCAAGGGAATGTGATCTTAAAAGTTGCTCATTAAAAAACTACACTTACAATGACGCAGGCAAAGTATTTTTGGTGCTTCACGGCGTCCGCGCGGACGAAGTCGCGGGCAACAGCTAGTAGTAAATAAGAAATTGTTTTATCGCTAAAAACTGCAATATTTGCAACAGCAGAAAGAATTTTACATATTTGTCAATCGACTTGCAAATTAAATGACGAAAAACTGACTAATATAACTAGATTACTGTTTCAGGCAGTCACGTTGAACTACAGTGTGATTTTGTTTTTTAGGAAAAACGGAGAAAATTTTTGTTCTATTTGAATTCAAGACTTCATATTCCACAGGTGAGCTTGCTCCAAAGCTAAACATATATGTATATAGCGTATAGCATCGGAATGTCAATCAATTTTGAACGTTACGAGGAAAAACTTTAGAACACAATTTCCCTTTACACGAAATATTTCAAGATATATTTTATTTAGTTTGAATAATCCGCTTTAGTCCCGAGGGTGTTTCACTTTCTAAACAAATGTCTTTGTTTTCATATTATATATAAAGTATACAATACATACATATACATTGTATCTATATTGAGTAGAAGTATGTAAATAGCAAATATGTACTTAGTATATGTATATTCATAAGTCTTCTTATGAACATCGATGTTTGTGTACGATAATTTATGCATAAACGTACAATTGTACGTTTTGTATAAGAAACTACACCTTTAGCTTCGATAACGTAAAATTATTTTTAATTAATTTGAAAGAAAAATACTTCATTACCGTTATTGTTCTAAAATTAAATGCACGCTAGCACTAAAATAAATAACAATTGTAGAGTAAATAAATATTTGCCTCTTTTTAAATACAGCTTGTATTTGATATCCGATGTTCACAAGGATTACAGTTCTTTGCGTCGTATTAATTTTTCTGAAAATGACGCGTACCTACTTTACATACAAGTTTTGGTGATCCTGATCCTACAAACATCAGGAATTGTCCACCTCAAAGAGCCACTGATTGTTGTTTGGGTTGTACAAGCAATAATATACCGTGGCACCAGCCAAGTGCAGGAGAAAGAACGGAGTGTAGTGTCTATGACAATAATAGTGACAGGAAAACCTTCTTAATACTTGGTAAGAGTCTTGAACGGCGATAAACTTATTATTAAGGATTTTGAATAAAAAGACCGGGTTATATATTCCCGATACATTTATAAATCCTGAAAATCTGAATTTTTTAATTCTGAATCCCGAAATTTAATCCGAAATTGTTATAACATGACCAATGACACATTCGAAATTAAGCAAACAAATTGAATAGAAAATGTTTACACATAAGTAATATTTAACTACATCCATTTAATTTATGATAAAAAGCAAAAATGGCATGTTAATTTCAGTGAGGGTAATTTGCAACAAAAGTGTGCTATTAGCCTTAATATTTCTAGGCAGCAAAATGGGTTAATTTAAGTGCTTACCTCTGTTAACTGCCAACAAGAGAGGCAATCTCATTCAAAGTATTTTATAAGACCACGTCGTATTTATGTATTTCTAAGAAAAATATTTTGTAGTATCAATTATAAACCCTATAATTTTCTATGCAACAAATGTAGTGGCACACTCGGATTCTTTAAGCTTGGAGATTTTGTTTTTTGTGAGGGGAAAATCGTCAAATGACTTCTCCCACCCAGAGTCGAGCGGGAGGGAGTGTCAGACTCTTCATCATCATTAGCCTATAACTGCCCACTGCTGAGCAAAGGCCTCTTCTCATACGGAGAAGGTTAGAGCATTAATCACCACGCTTGCTCAATGCGGGTTGGCGATATCAAACTTATAATTAGAAATTATAAGTGATAATTATGTCAGTGATGTCTAAATAATCATAGAAAGTACATATAATCTCAAGTACTATCCACCACTAAAAATATGTACTATCCACTCTTGCTGAATAAACTGGAACATTTTGGAATTCGTGGCACTCAACTTAAGTTATTACACAGTTACCTAAATGACAGAGTTCAACGTGTTGTAGTCGATGAATGGATGAGTGACAATTGTGCGGTTACTACCGGCGTTCCGCAGGGTAGTGTTTTGGGTCCTACCCTCTTCTTAATGTTTATAAACGACCTCTGCAGTATCTCTCTCAACAATGGCCATATATTTACCTTTGCAGATGACACTGCACTTCTTTTCTATGGTGATACTTGGGAAGAGGTTTACAGATATTTTATTTTAAGAGGTTTACAGATTATTTTAAGGTATCGATTTATTCATTGTCTCTGGAGATAACGTTAGATCGAATCTCTTTGTAGCGTTTGCCGATAAAATGCTTTTCGTATGAGATTTGCTGAATATTTTCATTCGCATTGTATGCTTGTAGATAACTTGGTAAAGGATCGGATATGACAAATATGTTTTTCTGATCTCAGAATTCCTAGAGACTTTTTCAGTTCGTTTATGTAGTAACTTTACTTTTTAATAAACAATCCGTGTGTTTATATCTAAATTCTACTTCTTACCTAATACTATAAATGTGAAAGTTGTATGTATGTTATTCTTTTACGCAATAACGACTGGATCAAACAAAAACATAAAAATATAAGCTACTTTTTATCAACATATCACGGGGCGAATCCGCGAGTGGAAGGTAGGTAGGTAGGAAGTATATAAATATATAAAATAATACAAAGTATGTTATACCTTTCTGCTGACTGCAGAGCTCTGTCGGCATGTGGAGATGTGGATCAACCCGCCCTCGTCTTCTGTAGTCGCCACAACATGTCTCACCAACTATCTGAAACAATAATAAACATACATCCGTTAGAATTGCTTGCATTATTAAATCAATTTATTTATTTTCATTACCAAAACATTATCATTGTATAAATGTATACTCTATAACTCCTCTGTTGTTGCGGGTGTTCATGGGCGGCATCAATTGCTTACCATCAGGTAATCCGACAACTCGTTTGACTTTCTATCACATAAAAATAAAACTTTCGATAAAATTACTCGAGCTACCTACCATAAATAACTTCATTGTTTTTCTTTCCAAAACAAGAAAATACGGACAATGCGAGAAAAATTGTGGGTTTGTTGGAGAAAACCGTACTAATATACTCCTTTAGATTTATATAGATAAATCGTGCTCGAAAAATTGCGGTTAGGCTCCCACTTATTACGTTGAAACAATAAATTGGGGCAAAATGTTACCACTGCCACTTTCTTTTATCCTATCGAGTTATGTAACATTATACCCTATTGATTTCGGGAGGCTCACAGCTACAATTTGATGCTACGCGTAATACGGGAGCGCCCTTTCTATTATGCTAAACTACTCACCTAGTACTCTCACAATTTATTTCTCTTCGTTACATTTAATTCGACGTCGTGCCACCACGAGATGGCACCACATTCGACCTTGCGGTCCCACTGCCGTGAAAAACTTATCAACATTATGAAAATTAAAACGGGTCATTATCAGTTATTTATATTCACGTTTATATATTAGCTAATTTAAATGCGAATTATGTCCAGACTCCAGAACCATGCTGTCAGTATCTTTGCAAAACTTACAAGGTCCTTGAGAGCATTTACATTGAAGCGAAAATAATGGCTGACATAAAAATGTATTCTCACGCGCGAAAATATTTGAACTTCATCTCTGTTTAAAAGTAGGTTGGAGTGGAGCGTTATGGTTTTTAATTTAGATCTTAATTTGGTGCGCCCTCAAAAATGTCGAGTGTTCCCGACTTCCCACTCTTCTATTTGCCAACAATATAAAACCCTTTTTTCATTGGCACCCTCTCCCGGTTTAATTAAGTCAACAACTGCCGGCCATTTTAATAATGCTCGCTGTGCGCTGTTTTCATAAACGTAACCGCCAAAATAAAAATATATTCGCTCTATCACCTACAGGCTACAGGAAACTTCAATATAAGCGCATTGTTCGTATTATAATTCTTTCTTTCTTATGTTTCCTTTTTTTCTTTAAAATTATTATTATCATTAGCAGTCCATTGACCTTTTAATGGTTTTTATTGTTTTCAAAATGATTATGAATGTAAAATGTCAACCTTTGACCTCATTTTGGCTTGCCTTTGATAAACTTCTGATTTATGCATTAAAATTTGTCTTTTTATTGTTTCCTAAGTGGTGAGCCGTGAGCCGGGAGATTATGATAGGTTTAGCAACTGTTGTTCAAACTTTTGTCAGTAAGTTTTTTAATACTTTGTTTTTGCTTCGTAGTAATGGCAAGAAAATGCCCGAAAAGCTAGCTTTTAAGGAGAATTCTCACAAATAACTATGCTTATAGAAATAATATTGGACAAAATTTGATATTTCAAATACAAATAGTTACGAAAACAGTAATTGAATAAAGAAAAAAAAAAGGTTTTCTACACTTATTTATATAAGTGTAGAAAACCAATTACAGAGGTAAAATTTGTAAGTCTGTGTGTAGGGGGTAATCCTTATAACCAATGGTCGGATTTCAAAAATTCTTTTACTTTTTGATAGCTACAATGTTCCCGAGTGCTATAGGCTATAAAGCATCGCGCTACAATCAAGCATGGAGCCGAGCAGCGAGTAAAACCGCGCGGGAGTAGCTAGTGTAATATATGTATAATTATGTATTTCAAAAAGCAAACGTTCAACATACATGTCAAAAGTAGCTCGAAATCTTTTAAAGGTTGAGAACCATTGCAATTTACAAAATGTCATTCATTTGTAAAAGTGTGTCGTGGTGGCACATTATGCTAATACAGTGTCTTTTGTAAATCCCTGGGAAGGGACTTAATCAGATTCTTACGAGGATTATTTTATACGCTCATTTTTATAAAAATGGAATTCGAATTTTTATTACTTTACTGTTTGACGGAATTTAACGCGCACGACCCATTTTTATTTGTTTTTTGCTTGACGTTTTCGACAGGGTTACACCTGCCATGGTCACATGCAGAATTTATTTTCATTTGGAAACAATTTTTTTGTTTATTATTGTAGACGAGACAACTGATGTTCTGACTGTCTGACTCGTGTTGGATCCATAGAGTTGCTTTGAAAGATTTCGCAAGAATCAAACTTGCTACTTTTGTTAGTAGTTGCAAATAACTCGTGTCGGTTTAATTTCTAGGTAGCTACTATTTTACACGAGACTCCGAACAAAATTCGTAAAATTAGGTATAATATGGTGCATGAGCACATTATGAGATAGGTGAATGCCTATCTCTCAATTAATCCACCAAACCCCAAGCGAACGCCGGCGTCACCTATTGTGTCGCGAATTGCAAGGATTAAAAGGTTAAAAAGGAAATTCCATACAAATTAAAAGACATAATGTATGTTTATATGAATCCCAATTTAACTGCATCATGCATCAATAAGCCGACATCAATCGTAACACTTCAATAATAACGAAAATTAACTGCAATTTCTGATTTCCACTGAAAATGAACACCAAACAAATCCCAGAATGACACGTAATTTTGGCAGCACAGATAATGATAAATAGTGGAAAATTGAACTGTAATTAACACAACAATTATGGAATTGGTTTCATTGTGTAAACTGGGCTTCCAAAATAATTTTTTTTTTGTTACTTGCAATAAACCAGTGCTTGACTGCGATCCCACCTGATGTTAAGCAGTGATGCAATCGTTGATGGTAAGGCGCACTAGTTTATTAAGAGCCTATTCACTCTAGCCTTGAAGACACCTAAGTTGTATTCGGACGGAAAGACTGCAGCCGGCAAACTGTTCCAATCCCTCGATGTACGCGGTATAAATGACGAGGCAAAACGCTTAGTCCGGGCCGCAGGTGTCTCAACAACGTAGGGGTGGATATTCGCCGTACGCCGGGATGTCCGAAGGTGAAATTGGGATGGCGGAATCAAATCGTGCAATTCCTGGGCACACTCTCCAAAATGTATCCTGTAGAAAACCGCAAGGCTGGCTACTCTGCGCCTGTGCTCGAGACTTTGAATATTGGACCCAACCAAATCGGGATCTCCAATCAGCCTCTTTGCACGCCTTTCCACCGAATCCAAAGCCGCTAGGTGGCATTTCGCAGCACCAGCCCATATGTGGCTGCAGTACTCCACACACGATCGGACCTGAGCTTTATACAACATTAGAAGCTGACTCGGTGTGAAGTACCGTCGGACTTTTGCAAGAACGCCGAGTTTTCTAGCAGCTACCTTGGCTCTGGACTCAATATACTAGCGTTTTAAATAGAACACACGTTTTTTAGTTATGTTGTCGTGGTGGCTTGAGGCTATGGCTCCTGCTTCTCATGGATGACGATGCGGTTTCGTTTTCGGCCAAGTAAGTACGAATGTGAGTTTTATCGAGCCATACATATGTACTTTCTAACATAATTTAAGCACCACTCATATACAGCGAAGGAAAACAAGACAACCTGGACTTCTAAGAATATCAAACTATAAGTTTGTTCTCGACTGAGCAAGAGATCTTGAGCAAAAGTAGTGATTGATGCTCATTCTTTCTTCGAGAAAATAGAGGGATCAGCAGTGAGCTCTTCAGTTGGGGTTGCGAGGTAAGCGATATAAGACACCGCAGCCTCGGCCTTGAACAGTAGAAGGAACGAGAGATTTTTAGTCAGTAAGAGTCTGAAACTTCCTCTCACCTCACCCTGAGCAGGAGAAGTAATTTGATTTCAAAAAAGCAGTGAGCACTTACATGCAGATGATGATGTATGAAGGTACACATTAACTTTAAGGTGTCTGTTAGACCCCAAAGTTTTAGAGGAAACCGTGTCACAGAGTGGTCACATCAGTTCATGTACAACCGCCTTTCCTTTTTATTCAAGAGTCTAACTAACTTCTTTGATCTCACGCAAAGCCACACAAATGCTAATATAAGCAAACCTTCGTACATGCACGTTGCATATTAATTACCAAGTATTAATTTACGTATGACCCTATTTCGTAGTTAACTCGTGTAAACGTAGAATAGAGTTGTACCGCGTTACCAAGTTTTGAATTAATTAGAGAGATTACTCGATTCACTGGGTTCTGCGTAACTTGGGGAAGAAGGTACAGTCAGTCAAGTATTTTGACCAAATATGCCACACCATTTGGTTCTGTATGTTTTTTCCCCAACACTAGGATTTTCTCCTAACTCATGGTTTTACGATTTCACAAACTCATCACACCCAGACCCAAAACAACGACTTGTACTACCACAAAGAGTTGTTGCACATAGGAATCGAACCCGCGGCACGTTCCAAACGTGTACTCAATACATTTGTCCTCTTTGAATCAAAAGTGTGTTAGGGTAAACAGCGATCTGCAGCATGTAAGATTATAATTATTCTGACTATGAAAATAAACGAGTCCGTGGAAATTTAAAAACTATAATAGTATAAAAAACGATGGTCTCGAACGTATCTGCTAAAATTGAAGATTATTACCAATTCCTTCTTATGTAGAGAATACTGTCAGTGGTTTTTGGCTCATAACATCTTAGCTGACTGTACGAATATACGTATTTCGGATTCGTTGACCTTCCACTGAAGTTTGAAGCTTGAAGGCACGTTTATGTTACCTGCGTGATCATTGTGTGTGCCTGTCACGAATTGTTCTCTAGTTAAGAGATGTTTTTGTGTAGTTTGAAGTCGTAATTAGTAGTTGTTTGTCAAGTTCGAAGTACGTCTTGTCATGAGAAATGAAATCATAGTATAAAGGCATCCGAAGAGAGATATTACGTGGTGTTCCACAGGGATCGGTCCTGGGACCACTCTTGTGGTACATCGGGTATGACTGGGTGCTACACA